ACTTCTCTCCTGCACCATTAACAATTTACTGCCTACATGAAGCATTATGTCTATACTATTGCTAGATATTCCTGTTTTGTTCCTAAAATATTTAGCTTTTCTCTGTCATTTTGGTGTACCAGCCAGAGATCATCTGTCTGATTTTGCTCCCCCACCACATCTATCTTCCCACATCCATTTTCTGTATTGCTATTTCTTCTTTTGCATTTGTTGTGTGTTGGGATTTAAGATTCTAATTTCTGCTTTTGAATCGCCACTGAAGTAAGGTGGGTTTTGAGCTTCTTGATAGTGGAACTGGTGGCTTTTAGTAATTTAATAAACTCTTTCTAAACAACTCCCAATTTTCACACACTTGATTCGTTCCAATTCATTTCAATCAATTTCCCTCAACTTTGGGAAACGAGGATTTTTCCAACACAAAAAGCAAAAAACCCCATTAAATTGAGATGCAGAATTCACTGCTATAAGATAGGGGCTAAAACTTTAGAATAAGACAAAAAAGGACAAACCTTTCTAGAAATATGAAAATCTCTATCCCTAGTTAGAGAAGACGGTATATCCACACCACCACACATCAGAAAAACTGACACGGGATGGGAAGTACTGCCCAAAATTGGGATTCTTGTACCTTTGACAACTGCAGAATGGGTATGTCTACATGAGACACTTTACTGAGCAGCAGACTAATCTGCTGTGCAATAAAGCATCACCATCTATGGGTGCATGGCAATTAGGGTATCGTAGACTAATTGACTGCAGTACCCAATAGTCCAGTCAGATACAAGTGGTATCCAGCAGCACAGTAAATTAGTGCACTTATATGCACATGCAGACAGTGATTTTGGGATTAGTTTACTCTGGCTCAAACTGAGCCACAGTAAATACAGTTACATCAATTGCGTGTAGAAGCACCCAGTGGCTACACAATTGTTCTGAACTACTGTGACAGTTCCTACATTTAAAGGAAGTTGACAAACATTTATTTGGGCATGCATCTGCAAAAGCACCTGGGACAGTGCAGACAGCTGGATCAGTCAGGCTCCATATCCTGGCAGAACGGTTTCTACTAGCTGCAACCCACCTACGCTACTGCCACCAGTGAACAAGCAGGGGTTACCTAGCAGACCTTTTAGTGGATTTTTGAGTTCCTCCTATTGCACCGCAAAGAGCAGCATGTCTCTTATAGAAAAGCTTCACCATTTTTTTTTTTAAAGCCAAGTGCTGCTCCGAAGGGGCGCTCGGGGCCCGGAGGCTGGCGGCGGCAGCAGCCGCGCTCCCGAGTGTCAGGCGGGCCGGGCCCGGGGAAAGGGCCTGGGGAGGGAAATACGACAACAGCACCAAGCCGGAACGAGCAGAGGGACGTGGCCAGCTTGCAGCAGCAGCTGAGACTCGAGCGGGGCCGGGCCTGACCCCCAGGGGCGGCCGCGGATGCCGGGACCCGCCTTTCTGTCCGGGAGAAACTCTCCCGGCCGCACGTGAGCCGCGGGGCCCGATTTCGCCCCTCCCCCCCACGTGCGCCCTTCCCCCCACGCGGGAAGCGGGAAACAGCGCGTGCAGCCCGGCACTGTCCCCTACCCTCCAATCGCCCCACGCCCCCTTCCCCGGCCACTCCGCCTCCCGCTTCGCGGCCGAAGCCCTGGCAGCGCCCCCGCTTCTGCCCCTTCCCCCTCACCATGGCGACTCGCTCTCCACAGCCCCCGGCGCGAACCAGCAGCTCCCAACCGTCCCCCACAATCCCCCGCGCCAACCGGAAACGCTTCAGCAACCGCCAAACGGCTTCCCTCCCACCCCGTTCTCATTGCAGCCCGCTTTCACCATAGAGACAGTACCTCCCACAGAGCCAGAACGCCGTCCAGACACCTCGCGAGAATTGGCGGGCAGCCGCCGCTGCGTATGCCGGGAAGGCTTCCGGGGTGGAGACTCGGGCTGCCATATTCGCTAAGGGCAGTATTTCCCTCCCTCGCTCCTCGTGAGGTCTGCCATCTTGGCGGCGGGTGACCCGGAAGCGGATCCGGCGGAGGGGGCAAGCGTCAGGCTAGAAGCTGCCACTTGGCCTCGGCGGGGCCAAGATGGAGCCCGGAGCCTGAGGGCTGAGGTCGGGCCCCGCGGGCAGGGGCGGGGTCCGAGAGCGGCCCCGGCGCGGCTGGCAGCGCTGGAAGCGCCGCGGGGGAACCTGAGCGCGGGGCCCGCCGCCATGGATGACTTCGTGTCCATCAGCCTGCTGTCGCTGGCCATGCTGGTAGGCTGCTACGTGGCCGGCATCATCCCTCTGGCCGTCAACTTCTCGGAGGTGAGGGCGTCCCGCGTGTCCAGGCGCCATGGCCTTGCCGGGGGCTGCCGGCGGCCCCTGCACCTGCGGGCCTTGGGCTGAGCTGGGAGTGCCTGGTTTAATCCCTGGCTGAGGCGGGGGCACCAGGACTGTACCCGGCTCTGCCCCCCGCGCCTCAGAAAACAGGCTGTCGAAGAAGTGGTGGAGAAGGGCAGCGCAGATAATTAGCGGTGTGGAGGGCCAACCGTCTGAGGACAGGCTGAAGAGGTATCAGTGAGGTGCTGGGTCAGTGTTATGTCAGGTCTTGAGAAATAAACTTTTAAATGCCTGGTTTTCCTTGCTGAAACTGATAACAATGGAGCAAGTGGGTGTTAACTAATTTTGCAGAGGAGAACGCTGACTTCCCTTGGGTACCTTAAAAGGTAACTGATGTCTATTTATTTTTGTCATTTCTCAGTCAAGCTTGAGGGTGCTGTTTTGGTTAATGTAATTAAGCACAACAAAGTGGCATATTTACAAATGGGGAGATCACAAGGGTTAAGAGTTAAACCTATGGCTCTTAATGTGGGAGAAAGTAGCACCCCTCGAATTGAGCTTGTTTTACTAATCTGTAATGTCAACTCAGTTTTATAACATAGTGGAGTCTTTTTGTTTTACACTTTTTAAAATGAGAACACTTAATTTCTTAACCCCCTTTACACCCTCATTCGTTACTCGAATATTTATTATGTGTAGTTAGTGACGTGTTAATATGGTAAACTAAATGGTCTGAATTTCCTGATTCACTTCTATGTTTGAACACTTACTGGAAGTTACAGCTTGACTTTTTTTTTTTTTTTCTTGAAAGATGCTAATCACCCATGCTTTCTGTTACTTAAAGCATAAGCTCAAGTTTTTTGGAAATACTACTTTTATATATTGTGCCCCATACTGGCAATGTGTAGCCCTAAGTGTTAGAGCTTTAATGCAGTTGACTAAGGCTTTCTGAATATATGCACCGTTATGAACTGGAATGATGTTTTTGGACTTCAGATTTTTAAGAAATGGATTGCAGTAATGTTTTTAGTCTCCCTTGGTGTATTAAAAAGCCAGCAGGAACGGAGCTGCTTTGTAAGAGTTTAAACTAGAAAGTAAAAGCCCTTGTTGCTTATAACTTGCATCAGATGCCAGGGAAGAAGGGTGCTATTGATTTAATTTCTTATAGTAAGGAATTTTACTCCCAGAATACATTATTTATGCTTTATTTCATGCTAATGTACCTTTCAAATTAGACTTCAGTACTCTTAAAAGGAAGGAACTGTTAGGACAGATTTCAGGCAGTGAAAAATAAGCCTATAAAACTAAGCCTGCTTACCCCAAGGGTTTAATTTGTTACTGTACCTAGCAGAGTTGCTCCACTTGTTTTCAGTTGCATGTTTCTCTCGTTTTCAGATATATATGAAAACAAGTGGAGCAACTTCATTAAGTACACTACATTTCATCTTGGGTCTCAACTGCAGTGCTCTGTTATCTTAGTCTCTTTCCAAAGACTTGAATCTTGTAAATGAGTTCAAACCACTACAAGGTGACTTATCTTATTCTGTTTTTTTGGCCCTAGTTTATCAAATACACGTTAATCCAAAAGGACTGGTCACCTGCTTAAAGTTACTCATATAAATGAGTCTTTGCATCATTAGTGCCTCTATTTGAATGCCATCATTGTTTTTAAGTAACAAACTGTTATCACTGATGAACTAATGATCTTTGGCGGCACTTACTAAATTGTTACCTTGTTTTTCTTCAGGGGAAAATGGGTATGCGTTTTCTTGTGAGGTTTTTTTTTAAATACTGTTTTTTTTTTATTTTTAAACATCTTGGAGGAATGTAGGTCTTTTGGGGGCTTGTTTTGTTTTTGGTTACTGCTAAGCTTTTGATTGATTTTTTTGAGCAGATTTTTTTTTAGTTTAGAATAGGGAACTTTGGTCAGGTCAGTTTTAAGTTGCATATTTATAGTCTTTCATGTCAAATCCTGGAGAAAATTGTCAAGGGATCCATCAATGCCAAACTAACAGATAGCAAGCTGCTGAATGCCAGCCAACATGGCTTTGTGATGGGTAGGTCTTGCCTCACCAACCTCATCTCCTTCTATGACCTGATAAGATGTGCCCTGGACAAGGGAGATGACATGAACGTCCTGTATCTGGACTTCAAGAAGTCCTTTAACCTAGTTTCCCATGATGTCCTCATGATTAAGCTGGGGAACTGTGGCCTTGATCATCATACAGTCCGATGGCTAGACAACTGGCTACAGGGTTGGACCAAAAGGGTGCGTCCACACAAGCGCGCACGTGCCTTTTGCCCTGCCTGAAACCCCTTTGAGGCGGGGCAACAGACACGTGCGGGAACAAAAAAATGTTCCCCCGTGGTGCAAGTTTGCTGTTCAGGGAGAAAATTAGACCCCTGGATGGGGTCTAAAAAAATCGATGTTTAAAAAAGTGGAGCAGGGCACAGTCCCTGAGGCAACTGGAGGCTGGGTCCTCGATGAAGACACTCTGGCAGCTAGAGTGTCTCTATGGTTAGCCCTCAGCCCTGGTGCTGAAACACATGGCTGGCCAGGCCACATGTTTCAGCACCAGGTTCCGGTGCCAGTGAGTAAGGTCTCCAGTGCTGGTGAGTAAGGGTCTGACAAATTCCCCTCAGAGGTGGTGCAAGCACCTACTCTGGACTCCTTCAAAAGACAGGTGGATTTATTTCTTGCTGGGGTCAGTTGATCCCAGCTGACTTCCTGTCTATGTGGGGGAGGGCTGTACCCAATGATCTCATGAGGTCCCCTCCAGCCCTTAATGTCTATGAAAATGTATGAAATCTATGAAATTGGATGGAACCTCTTTCCTAAAATAACAATATTTTACTTATTAGTATGCATACTTAATTGCTTTTAAAAGTTAAGGTAAGGCAAACTGCATTTTCAAGAGCTATGATTTATCATTGGCTTTCTGAAATAACCATTAAAGAATACTGTCCCTATACCCTTTAATGTTAAACAAATGCTGTAAGATGCATTTGGAAAATTGAGAAAGTGTTTGTATCTTGTGAGCTGCCTAGACATTGGAAATTAAACCTGTCATTAATTTGTCTGTTTTGTTTTTGGTGCGGTGGGCTGGATGAGTGCTGCAAGGCCCCTCACCACCACCTCTAAGGCCCCCACCAGATTGGGGCCCTATGCTGTCTCTGCTTGGGCCAGTGCTACAGGATCTGGTCCTTAGCAACCTGTAGCCAGCCCCTGTGTGGCTAGATTAGGCCACAACCCACTTCCACGTGCTGATCCAGTGTCGTCTGGCTCGTGGCTCACCACGGGTCTGGAAATTTGGCAGCAGAGGAGAGGCAATTGCTGCCAGTGCTTCTCACCACCACATTTTTGGACCTGTGGACTGGATGACATGGCTCCATGTGCTGGGGATTGAGTACCTCTGAACTAGACTATGTCCTGAACATGGTTTCTGACATATACTGTGGGGGAGACTGGGCTTTATGATTCTCTTGTTTTCTCTAACTCCTGGACTGTTGTATTTCACAGAACTTTAACCACAATATAATTCAAGCACTTCTGCCTATAAATGATCTTCAAATGGCTCCCATTTGTGTAGTAACTAAGTAAGGTTAACTAAACTTCATCCAGTTTTCAGAATTTTCAGCCATGCTGGTTTTACTTTAATTGTATTAAATTCTTACATTAAATTTTTTATTGGTAGTGTACCAGTTTAACTGAAGGTTTGTGTTTTAAGAATTGATTTCAGCTGAAATGGCATTAAAGGCTGTGTGGATAATCTTAGTTTGCTTATATTGATTAGAAACATGTGTAACATTTAAAAAGCAGCCTCCTTTCGAATTAAAGGTCTATGTGGGAGTTGTGCTGGTTTAGCCAAAGTACAATTTGTATAGTGAAAGTAACCTAATCATTTTGATGATGTCATATCTGTGTAGCTGTGATAATTGTTAATTTCTAAAAGTTTGCTTGTCCCATAGTATTTTTCTTAGTCTTCAACTCTAAACCGTTGCAAATGGACTGGTAACATTGTCATAAACTAGCATTGGCTTTGTCATACGTCGGATGATGATGATCAGTACTTTCTCACTTTATTTAGGGAAAGTAAAACATTGTAGTGCCTTTCTCTCTAATTCTTTAAAGTCAAATCCCTTTTTTACGCTTCATTAATATTTTTATTTAACACTGTTAGTTGACTTTTTAGCCATTAGGAGAATCGAAAGCAATTGTGGCATTCTGGATTTATGCAACTTTGGATCACTACTTTTATCGAGCTTGACAAACTATATGCTGGCACGTCTGGGAGTTCTTTTATTATCTTTAACTAATGGAGTTCCCTAGTTCAGGCTTTCATTTAAATAAATTCTTTTAATGATTTACATAAGTCTAGTTTTGAACTTACCTTGGAGATTGGATCTCTTCTATAGCATATAATATTAATTGCAAAACAGGAATGTCAGTGCTTGTTCCAATTTTAACCCTTCGTTAGGGAGGCTACTTAATGTTTTGTTAATACTTGTCAAATAAAAAGTTTTAGCTTTGGCAATATATTAGATAAGTTATGGCCAACTTGCAATTGCTCTTACATGTCATGTCCATTCATCAAGGACTCCTTGGTGGAGGGGATCCTATTCACTCAAAGTTACAGTCAGAAAACTAACTATACTAAGGACAACATGCGCAACACCTGCTACTCTGCACAAATGAGGCATTTGCTATTACTACTGTTATCACTGCAGTTTAGAACCCCAGTATTTTCCAGTGCACAATGAGCTGCATCCTGTTTTTGTTAATGTATCAAGAATCCCATAAAATAAACTGGTAGTTTTACTGTGAGTTATGAGCACAAGAAATTTAAATAAAAGCATGCTATCAGAAAATAGAGTTCACTGGAATGTACTTGGCCTGTGGATAGCAACTAAGTGGTCATAGTCCACTCTCCTGAAGGTACCTGTGAGTATATTAATTTGTAAAAAGTATTGACCCCTTATCTTCC